TTACGATACATATAATTTACGATACATACGTCTGCAATAATTTCGTGTTCTTCGATGAAGTATTTTCCCGCTAAGATTAAATTACTTGAACATTTGCGGTATTTCATATCAGACATACTTTAATAAGCACTTCCATTGCGTATCATTAGTACAGTGTAGTCTGTAGCCTATTGCACCACCGATAAACGTCACACAGTAGGATTTCCAATTTCTTAGCAACTGAAATCTGCTAGCAACCGTAGGAAACTGAAATGCTCTATTCTTTACCGAGCGAATGTCAAGGAATGCGGAAGTAGTCCGAAAGTTTTGCCTTAAAACTAGTGACTGCGTCCTCCGGTTGTCTCTTGCGCCATGGAACGTAGGGACCGTCGGGAATAGAGTCAGCTGGCTCACCCGTGCATGGATCCGCTAACACACAATTTTATTTTCCGCAGCGAAAGCAATATTGCATTTAACCACTGTTCCGCGTTTACGTTTTCGCAAACGGGAAGTGTTAAAATATAATGTTCGGCGATAAGGCCGCTTTTTCCTTACTGTCAGATGCAAGACTATTAAGCTGATACACCAGCTGTCAAAAATTTTAATGTTCATGGGACAAAATCGGTCACAACCTCACAGGTAAAATGGTTTTTCTCACTCTACCTACACACGGAATACCCGGTCTTGGTTCCACATTCGTCGCATTGACTCTATGTTCCTCAATTAAAATTGCACGGATATTTATAGAAAGAATTTAATGCTTTGTAGAAATATTGTATTACAAATTAAATGTTTTTCGGAAAAGTTTGTGAAGTTCAAAACCTGTGATAAATACGCATTAATACTCTGGAAGCACCTAGCAAAGTATCCACTATCCCGCTCAGTTATTCCGGAATTCGCTGGTTGCAGGGTATCAGTTATTGAATTACCAGAATGAAAATTAATGGTTAAAAATTAAAAAAAAATTGTTTACTCACCAGACCAGAGATCAGCTTCTTTTAGGTAGTGAGCCCGCTGAAGCTCCGCACCGGTGTCGTTCAGCGCAGGCAGGTATAAATTGTACGGGTAAACGTCGCGGAGTGGTTTCTTATTGACCCAAGCCCATTTGTGCGCAAAGCAGCACTGCGTCATCGTTAGGTTGTCGCGGGCTGTTCCGGGTTTGCAGTTGTCGCAGCTGGGAAACCCGTCTCCGGGACAAAGCGGCAGCGAGCTGTCCATCAAAGTACTGTAGTTACTGATGACTTGCAGGGCATCCCGATATGAAAGATCAACGTTTTTAGTCAACGTTTCCAGAGCAGTCGCCAGTTCTTCGTTGCTGATAACGAGCGGCCATGGCGCATAAAGCTTGACGGCATTAATTTCCGTAAGGTGTTGCAGTACAAAGGAAGTGTTGATATAAGGTATATCACCGCCGCTGATGGTACACAGCAACCCAAAACCGGTTACACAGAGCAACGTAGTACCGTACATGTTTTATGTGCATTACAATATTCAAAGTGAAATTGCATATTAAGCGGAAGTTGTAAGTTTGATACCAGTTTCCTGAACACTTTTATACTGCCATGTTCGAGTGAAATCGAAGCTGTGGTCAGCATACGCTTCAAACCCGCCGCGCCGTTTTCGGACAACACTTCATCTTGTGCAGTTATGTCGCACACAATCCCCGGGATTTTCTGATAATACACCCAACATCGAGGGTTTTCTCTGTTGGTGGATTCGCTGAAATGAATAGGAAAACATCAAATATTTGCAACTGACTGCAAGTTTTAGGCTGATTCTACCTACTAATTTGAAGTGGACGCTTCGCGAAACGCCCAACTTTCCTGAAACCGGAAACTATGGTGAAAATGATAAAGCGGTATCACAATACCTCGTGACAAACAGCGTTTATTTCTAGTAAAAGCTTGGTTTTCAGCAAAAAAATTACAGTGTCTGAGCAATCCTTAAAACACTTATCCATAAGCCCGTTTTGCCACTCAAGTGGGTGGCGGAATGTAAGGGTTGCTAGGAACTGCCATCATAAATCCGGGCATATCAAATTTCTTGTATTCAGGAACAATAAATAATGGGTTTTAAAATTTTCTTTTACTCAGGCTATCAGAATTTTCTGAAACTTTACTAACATGTCAATTTTTTTAATTTTTAACACCACCCAATTCGCAAATGTCTTACAGTTTCCACTGGTGTAGCCAGATTTTTTATGTGTAACGTGTGTTAATCTGTGACTGTGATTTTGTGGAATTCTGATAATTACGACGACGAACACGTATCCAGAAAATCCGTTCATTCTGGCAAACCAAATGTCGATCTCAACACCACCAGACGACCATTGACTGGTGTCATGTCGCCTTCGTAAATTTTCTTTAAATGTTAATGTTGCTTTGTAGAAAGAGCGGCAGCCAGCAGTTGCAGCATGTTTGACCAATAAAACGGGTAGAAAAAGAAGGTTAGAAACATGCACATGTCGATGCAGTGTCTGAACCGCAAAAACGTTCTATGATATTCTTATCGTAATTCTAAAGAAATACCGCGCAACGAGCCACAGAGACGACTCTGTACATGCATTTCGGTTTGGTCACAACGATGCATGGAGACGCACGTTCATGCCGCATGTTCCCTAATTTTAGTAACGCTGGAAAACCGGTAGCGCGCTCAATGAGGAAAAGGGTCAGCGACAAGAGAAGTTGTAACAGGACGTATTGTAGGGGAAATTCCAGCCATCTACTATATTGTTGTACGATAAATCCGCCCGCAGTCCACACTGAGCACCTCCAGAAGTTGTGGCAAATTTCAGAAGGTTTATGTTATTTTAGCAAAACTACTTCCGCATCGAAAAGCGTTTTAACGGATATTGCTTACAAAATGACGATCGGGTGTGCATTAACCTTTCTTGGAGCGTACTTTCTCGACTCTGTGACAAGCACCACATCAAAAAAATACAAACGACTGCACTGAACCACAAACGATGAATCCGCCCATCCTTGTCATCCAGGACAGCGCCGGGCAGAACTACACCGGCGAGGAGCACTTGTAGAATTACAACATTCCCGAATTAAGCCTGGCCGTTATTATCAACCGCACCGTCGCCTGGGCCCCAGCTTTTGGATTGGCCGACGCCGCCGCCACGCGGCCGGTCACCACCGACACCCTCTTCCAAGCGGCCTCCATGAGCAAACCCATGGCGGCGCTTGCCGCGCTGCATTTCGTGGAAACCGGTCAATTATCGCTGGACAACGACATCAACGGGTACCTGAAAGCTTATTGGTTGGTTTAGGATATTAGCTACACGACAACCAAGAAGTTTAACCTCCGCCGATTAACGTCGCACGCTACGGGACTTAAAGTCCACGGATTTTACGGGTTGCCACACGGCGACCCCGTTCCGACGGTCGTCCAGGCTCTTCAGGGCACGAACCCACCAGCGAACTCCCCGAGGGTAGAGTCCTTGGCGGTCCCAGGGACAAAATGGCACTATTCAGGTGGTGGTTACACAGTAATGCAGAAAGCCATGGTCGACCGGGTTGCAGTGCCGTTCCCGATTAATTACGAACGAAGAGGTCTTCGGGAAATTTGGAATGACGAGGAGTACGTACGACCAACGGCCCTGGAAGCCGAAGCCGCTGCCGGGTACCGTGAAAACAAAATGGAAGTTGTCGGTAAGTGGCATACCTCCCCGGAGGTGGCGGCCGCCGGAATGTGGAGCACCCCGTCGGACTTTACACGCTACATCATCGAGGTGCAGAATTCGCTTCATGGAACGTCAAGCAAAGTCATTTCCGCGGCGATGACAAGAGAGATGTTGACACTGGGACCTGGGATCCTCGGTAACGCCACAGATATTTTTGAGCATGGAGGTGCGAATGAGGTGCCTTTATGGCGTCGGCGGTAGCCGGCAACGGGTACGTCATTATGACCAACTCGGATGATGGTGGAAAGGTCATCCCGGAAGTGGCGGAGAGTATCAATCGATTGATTGGGGCCAACTGGCCGCGACCGCCGGATGCCGAAAATGGAGAACGTCCGGTGCTCGGTGCAGGCGTGGGGATGATTTTTGTTATGACGTAGTGATCACTCTTATCGTTAATGCAACTTCAACAATAAATATTCGATATCATGAGACCGTCGCTACTGAATTGAGAACCTTACCTTATCAGCCATTTTGCTCTGGTGGCTTGGAAACTTTGAGACGTGTTATTTGTGCAGCGTGGAAAACGTTGTTTACCTAAAACCGTGCGTGAAAGCCAGCTACGCTATTATGAGTTATTGCACTGGGGAACGGTACCGGTAAATTAAAGTGTTAAGTGAACAAATAATTTGCTGTGTTTGCGTAATTGTATACTGCTTTTGCTTGCGGTGCGCGTTGCGTGCACATCTAATATCGCTGCATTTATTCAAAGCTTTTATGCAGCTCACGTTTTTGATGTATTTAGTGCATACAGTTCAACTGTCCAACAGTACGTTATTGTTTGCATAGTTTGCAGTCACCATTTCAGCCCTTATGGTCACACTCTTCGCCGATGGCGACTGCAGTACAGAGAGACAGTTCAAGCTGTTTGAATCTCCTCCTTCTATAGTATTTAATTTAAAACTGGTAATTGTACGCTACAAAATTCACGCATACCGTAGCTGAAGCTGTGATTGGCAGTTTGGCAATCACCATTTCAATAAAGATGAAGTTATGAGCTGCGCAGTCAGCGTCAACACCTGTAGAACAATTGCCGATCCGAGTGTAAACACGGTCTGGTTTTGCCGGGAGCGCTTCCAGCATACATGGAACAAATTCCACTAGCGTTAAGCACAGCACGAAACGATAAGTATGAATAATATAAACTGAATTCGCCACCGACGGTATTAAACGTCACCTGAAAGGTATTAATTAGTTACAGTAGGCGTAAACGACATTGACGGGCAACATAAAGAAAACAGACGCAATTTGCCAATGGGCATGGACTTTACACAAGCCCAGACGCATATACTGTAGGTTTTTTTTGTCAATCGAACATTTAGGTTGGAGACTTGGAGCGGCAATAGCTTGCGCAAAACCACGCGATCTTCTTGACTGCGCCATTTTCTTTATCCGTGAGGAGCGATGCTGGGCTCGATGAGCTGGATACGTTCATACCGTCGACGCACACGTATGCGCTGTTGGCTCAAATCAACGCGCGACCGTACTAGTTTAAACACTAATTTTCACTCAGTCTTTTCCAGTTTAGTTTTCTTGTTTGCCCTTGTTAATCGCGCAGGAGCGAAAGCTCCACGGATAATCTTCCGAGACGACTTCGACGGGGTCGCACTGGACCTAACGCACTGGAATTCCGCCAACACCAAGTCAAATGTCAATGGAGAGCGGCAATACTACCGGTCGGATAACGTCCAGGTGTCCAGTGGGACACTGCGTCTCATTAGCCGGCGGGAGGCGTACGGCGGTTGCAATTTCACTTCAGGGCTGGTGGATACCCGCGATAAGTTTAGCTTTCTCTACGGTGAGATTGAGTGGCGGGCACGCGTTGCCGCCGATGGTGGCATCCAGCCACAGTTGTGGCTGCAGAATCCGCAGTGCCACGACGGGGTACCCTGCAATGGTTACGGGCCACCGTCTTTTAGTCCCAGGATGGACGGCGATCTTAAGCCATCACACAGCCCCAGAGCGGTTGTCAATATACATAATTTGTCTCGCACGGTGAGAGAGAAAATGGCGGATCCAAAACAAGACCTTTCGAACGATTTCCACATGTACAAGATAGTCTGGTCGCCGAATGCGCTGCAGTGGCTTGTGGACGGAAAGCAGGTTCACTCTGTATTAGGCCAGGATAAGGTCCCCGCGGTGGCGCAGCAGGTGGTAATGAATGTCGCCGTTAAAGAAGATTCTGCCGATGATCCCGGCAGCCTTACTCGCTTTCCCACTGAGTTCCTCATCGACTACGTGGTGGTACGCCAGTACGATATCCTTATATTGTCATCGGTCACCAGTGCGCCAATCACTCAGGTAGCCACACCGGAGCCAACGGAGCCACCGGGGCTAGTCATCGGCCTTGGAAGCCTAGGAGGAACGCTAGTCGTTACCGCTATCGGCGTTCTTATTCTTTTTATGTGTTGGAAGCAGCGCCGGCGCCTGAAGCGCGGCAACATGCGCAAGCGCACCGACACCCTGCCGAAAACCAATTGTCACCGGGGGCAACTCGTTGATGCAGACAATGAGGAGGTCATACCGGCTATCCAACAATATATCCACTTGTTGGAGATCCCTTTAGCTAATATACAAGTTTGTAAGCCGAATTCATGGAATCGAAACATGTTTTTTGTCGCTCTGAGGCTGTTTTCTGAGTGCGCCCTGCTTCAGCCATTTTTGCTCATACGGTAACTACTTCTTTTGCATCGAGAGCAGCGCATGCAGCGGTATGCTGCAATACGATAATATCGCGGGCAAAATATTTTCAAGCGACACTCAACGTGTGACACTTCTCTGATTCCATAAACCACTATTTTCATTTTCGGTTGCATTGCCACTCGTTCGATGCAACAAGTGCGGTTAACAACCAAGCGTTTGAAGTTTATTACAAGTCACCGTGACACTATGTGTCTGTTGGTAGGGGCTATTGTTGGAAAGGGCAAGCATGGTATTGTCCGGAAAGGCGTGGCCACGGGGCTGCGTGGTCAGCCGCTGCCGACCCTGGTGGCCATTAAGACGGCGCGTAATACTACCAGCCCAGAGCAGCAACGACAAATTATCACAGAAATGAAGGTTCTGACGCAAGCCGGCCGACATCTCAATATAATCAACCTCCTCGGTGCTGTCGTTAAAGGTAAAAAGTAGCAGTACAAAGCATGATCAAGTTATATTTCCACCACAGGCAGCCGCACCCGCAAGCAGTGCATTGTAGTGTCTCAATCAAACGCTTGAGCATGCACACGCTGGTAGACATATAATTTGCAATAAATTGTAGCAGTGTCGCTTGGTTTATTTTACTGTGCAACATACGGCATCTCTACGACCCATTGATTGTACATTGATCCGACGATAGATTTCTGGTAGAACGGACTGGCATGTTTTCGGTGCCCAGTACCATGAAACTGTTGCTCCTTGTACCTTTTGCATTCCCAGGCGAAACACATTTGCTATTGGAATATGCGGAACACGGGTCTCTTTTGAAATATCTGCGGTTTCACCGGAGGACCGTTGCCCACAACTTCCCGAACGTAGTTCCGGTACTGCGTAACGACGAAGCGGAAGGAGGCCGCCAGCAGCAGTTTACTGTCAGCGAGATTCCGATGCCAGTCCTGCGTGCTGAAGTCGTGGACGGAGGAGTTTTATCAGTGCAAAACTTGATGGGCTTCGTCTTCCAGATCAGCCGCGGTATGGCCTACCTTAACAGCCGCTCTATCATCCATTGCGATCTGGCCGCGCGCAACATCCTGGTCTGCCACGATGGAGTGGTCAAGATCGCCGATTTCGGCATGGCCCGGCAGGCGACAGAATATACCCTCCTTGCAGAACGCGTAAGGACTATTCGTGGCAGACCACACGCAGGACTGGCATCGGAATCTCGCCGCCAGCAGCAGTTTACTGTCAGCGAGATTCCGATGCCAGTCCTGCGTGCTGAAGTCGTGGACGGAGGAGTTTTATCAGTGCAAAACTTGATGGGCTTCGTCTTCCAGATCAGCCGCGGTATGGCCTACCTTAACAGCCGCTCTATCATCCATTGCGATCTGGCCGCGCGCAACATCCTGGTCTGCCACGATGGAGTGGTCAAGATCGCCGATTTCGGCATGGCCCGGCAGGCGACAGAATATACCCTCCTTGCAGAACGCGTAAGGACTATTCGTGGCAGACCACACGCAGGACTGGCATCGGAATCTCGCCGCCAGCAGCAGTTTACTGTCAGCGAGATTCCGATGCCAGTCCTGCGTGCTGAAGTCGTGGACGGAGGAGTTTTATCGGTGCAAAACTTGATGGGCTTCGTCTTCCAGATCAGCCGCGGTATGGCCTACCTTAACAGCCGCTCTATCATCCATTGCGATCTGGCCGCGCGCAACATCCTGGTCTGCCACGATGGAGTGGTCAAGATCGCCGATTTCGGCATGGCCCGGCAGGCGACAGAATATACCCTCCTTGCAGAACGCGTAAGGACTATTCGTGGACGTCTATCGTAACCTAAGAAAAGCGATGATAATAAGCCAAGGAAAACTGAGTAATAAAGGTAATTTCAGGGAGCGCTGCCGTTGCGCTGGATGGCGCCGGAGTCGATCGAGCAGCGGACGTTCTCACAGAAGTCGGATGTGTGGTCCTTCGGCGTCCTGACCTGGGAGATTTTCAGTCTGAGCGAAGCGCCTTACACCTGTGACGGCCTAAATTTCCGCAATGGTACCGAGCTGCTCACCGCGCTGATGGCCGGTGTCCACTTGGAACACCCGCCAGTTTGTCCTAACGCCGTGTATGTGGGCAGGCGCAGTTAGTTAACCGACACGTAATGCGACACTGTATTTTTGATAGATACGACATGATGTTGCAATGCTGGCGCCTACCGCCAGCAGACAGACAGGCCGGTCTTCAGCCAGCTCCAGCGAGTACTGACGGACCTCGTTGGTATCGACTCCGCCCATACCTATCTTGTACTTGACGAGCCTTACCAGCGGTTTAACATGTTGCACCAGGATCTTCTGAATGCAGTCGCGGATAAGTCAGACTGAGACTACGTACCCATCGATTGTGTCAACTGTGCCGTCTGCCGTATACATATATCGTTAGAGGAAATTACATAAGCTTAAAAGGAGCATTTAGCAGCCACTGTCTTTGTTCAGTGCTATCCCTCCATTTGACAGTTTTTTGCTGTTATTGATTTATCGGGAAAACTGGTCATTTATCGTTTTATACCTGCATTCCTTGTCATCAACTTTGGCTGTCAGCGCACAAAATGCATTTTCAAAAATTAAGATCACAGGAGTATAAAGGAAACTGCAAAATATTCAAAAAGAAAACGGATGATGTAACTGGCGTCGCCAGTCCCGTCGTTTTCTTCGATTTCATGGAGATCGGCCATTGCATAGGCGCAAAACCAATTTAGGTGTAGAATTAACAGTGACCAGCAGAGTTTCCAGGCAGCACACCAAAGGAGCGACCAACAACCGGTTTTGTAAAACGTATAGTGAACGTGGCGCGTCTGGATGTTGAGAAACACCGATGTACGGTAAAATGCTATCGTTAAGAAAAGGTTAACAATGAGTCGAAAGTTTCTATCCGTAAAAAGGGTTGTGCAGCTTTTGAAAAGATCAGAGATAGAGAACCGATATCACGGCTGCCCCTATTTGGCCTAAGTCTGCGGAAGGGTAAACTGGCAATTTACTGACCAGTATCTTGCTGATTGACAACTTGCTATTGACCGCCAAAATGTATACAAGGCAAACGGCATCTCTTTCCCCTCGCTTTAGTACTGTTTATCTCTTTCCCCTGGTGCATCGCTGCCGTGTGTGAACGGGCACGTGGCGCTTTGATTCAGCCTTTTCACAGGCGGCACAACGCTCTTATCTGCCGTTTGCTTTGTACCTGGCAATTTCGTGAAATAACTACTCGATGATTGATAAACTGCTGAATAAATATATGTAAAAAACCGACATTTTGCACGTAACATTCGGAAGAAAAACACACCAAACCAAAAAGAAACAAGAAAACATAAGTAAATGTAAGATAGAATGAGAAAGCATAAGCCTTTGCTAAGAAAACAGCATGAAACCTAAAATGACCAAGAGAGAAACACTAAGAAAACTAAGGAAAAAGGAACCGAGCGGTCGGCTAACGAAATAGTTTTCCAAAAACTGGGGCAGCAAAATTTTATAAAAGCGAAGTGTTGGTAAGTAATACGTCGGTCAGCTAGTTTTGTTAATCATCGCTATACTGGTCAGCAAATTCTCGGCAAGCAAAACATAGGTCAGGGAAATGACGTGCCACCGCGCGGGGTCATCTTCACCTTTATTATAGTGCTTGAATATATCTATAATATTCAACGGGAGCAACTGTATCAGCTGACTCTGGAGATGCTTCCCATTGAAGTAAATCTGTAACTCTGTCAGGTAACACGAATGAATAATCATGCAGCATGATATCGATCATCGCAGCCTAATACACCGTACATTGTGTATTGTACAAGCGCACTGTACAACACAAATTTATACAACATGCATGTACATACCGGTACAGTATTATGTGTACGGTAATCGCAAGCTTTTGTATATTGCATTTGCATACAAACTGCGACAGTGCTGCATGGTCGGCTTTGGCACAGCAGGCATCAGCACATCTCAGCTAGAGCCCTGCACGAGCCGAGCAGCTCGGCTCGGCTCACGAGCGCTCGCCGCTCGCGAGCGCTTCGAGCGAGCAGACGCCGTTTTGCGTTTTTGCGAACGAGCTGAGCATCAGGAAAAAATTAGCGAGCGAGCCGAACGAGCAGGACAGTCGGATGCGAGCGATCCCGAGCTGACCGCCTCATATTGTGCGATCCGAAGAAACTTCTACAAGAAATTGCGTAAAAAGAGCTCCAAAAGCCTTAATCCACCGCCAGCTTCGCGCTTCGCGCGAGCACGTTTTCACTGTGGACTGTGGTTTTTGTTAACACGATGCTAGCGACAGTTCGGTAGCTAACATAAGAGTACAGAGACAACCTTAAGAATCTTTCTGTGGTATCATTCAAAGTGCTTGTTACACAAGGGTCAGAGATGAAATTTGATTTCGAAACCAGGAAATTCTGTTGGTAAAAAACGAAACCACCATAAAAAAAAAGTGCCTGGGTGGAGGTTAAGTAGAAAACCATAGACCAGCCACCAAAGTGCTCCTAGCAAAAATCAAATTTAGTAAAAGCTAGTCGCCTACAACAAATTTTTTAAATTTTGGTCTATGTGAAATTTTTTTGTCGAGCTTACGAGCGAGCCGATTTTTGACCATAACAAATACGAGCGAGTTGAACGAGCTGGAACAAAGAAAAATTGAAAAACGAGCGAGTTGAGCGAGCAGAGGTTTGAGCGCGAGCGAGCTGAGCGAGCAGGAAATTGTGAAAAACTCAAATGAGCGAGTCGAGCAGCACTTTTGCTGCTCGTGCAGGGCTCTAATCTCAGCGGCATAAAAATGAATGCTATCGATTTGTTCTAACGCATGCTTGACGTTTGAACGATGTGGGACTCCGTTTTCCACTTTTGCGGCAGCCACCAAACCGATGTTCACACTTTCCGATCCCACGTGCTGCGCAAAAAAGCCACGGCGTACTTCTTGCCTTCGTTATTTTGTTATTTCGAAATCCAGTTGTGCGTTATTGTATCTGCCGTAATGATTAATTTATACGTTAAACGGGAAAATTATTAACCGAGTAATTTAAGTTGTAGCATGGGGATTGCAGTGCCGCTAATCTGTTCAAATACGTCCAATCGCACCCATAGCCCATATACTATCAAGCACGTTCTGACTCCTTTCTAACTGGGCGCAAAGTACGAAGCGCGTGCGTCCGTACGTAGAGAATGTAGCTGTTCGCATTCTCAGCGGGGAAATGCGGACGACCGACGAGTGCAGCTTTGGATCTCCGCTGTTGCAAAAATTATGCGTCATGCACACCCGTAATGACGAAACAAAACTGGAAAAAGTTTATCCACCAAAAATAATCCTTCCTCTTTTTTTGGTGAGAGGCGTGCGTGTACCGATAGCGTTGGTTGGAAGGCTGAAGAAATGAGCATTTTTCGGTCTTCCTGTCCATGCTATCGTCAACATGCTAGCGATCAGTTTCTGGCCTTTCTCTAACATTGCAACAAAGGCTGCGAAATGCTGCCAAAGAATGAATCTTCAAACTAAACGAAAAATCAACTAGTTGCCCTTATTTTTATCGTACCGCGCTTCTAGTGATGCTTTGACCAGTTGCACCGGATCCATCTGTTGAAAAATATTGTTTTATGATTTTAAGACGATTGAACCAATGCACCATTTGATCAGTCAACGGTTGAACCCTGTTTGCCCAGCCGTAAAACAGGTGTGCCTTTCTTCCAAATTTTAGAAGGACGATATTTCATCATGTAATGTGGACACGGACGAGAGCGAGTTGTTGCTTTAAAGTATGATTCTAAAATGATGATACGGCAGTTCTCGCCGCTAACGAAAAAGAAGATTATTCGATAGCGGCTGGCATTTCCGTACCATGTTCTTATTGATGATCATTGAGGACAGTTCAGACAGCCTTCGACAGTTCGAAAGCAGTTTGGCTGACAGTCTGACAGTTTGGCTGGTGAAATATCGAAAACGGGCGGCCATCGACATTTATGCGTACCGCGTAATTAAGAAGATTATTAACCAGGGAAACGCGCTGATTGAATCCTTTGCAGACTGCAGCACTATTGCCGAATTTCAACAATACAATATGCACCAAACCAAGCACGACATCATAAGACAATCATCTCATAATTGAACCGTATGTGTATCAAAACTGATGGAAAACTATAATACGCGTCGAAGCAGCAGATTAACTAACATTAACTATCACATGTCATTGCCTTGGGCAGCTGCTTGCGTTTGCGCCTTTGCGGCAGAGAAGGACAGTTGCCGGTGCAGGCCGGGCACTCGGGCGGAAAACTGGAGTGGCGTTGATCGCCCGGCTACCAGTCGTAATCGAGTGTCGTACTCCGTTTCATTCAGCGTCGACATAATATCATCCAGAACTGCCGTCGTGATGGCTGTGGGCCGGCACGGAGGCAGCGGACAGGGATGCACCAGTGACGTTCCTTTCCATTACCAACGGGCGTGGCGGTCCTCTGCGAAAACCACAAGAGTTGTAAATATGTGTACGTATACGCCGGCTAGCATTAAAGGAAGGTATTTCCACGCGGCGACGCGCTGTCGGGAGTGAGCATTGTGGCCTCAGTATGGAATGCATCTACATGCAAACGAAAACAACAAGAAGCGTTTAGATCGCTGGTAGGAAATCAGCACCGCTCAAATGGGCTGCAGTTAACTGCGCGTTTCCTGGCCCGCTGGACAATACTTGTCATGTCTGGTCACGGTAAAGTGCAGTTTCAGCGAAGACGGAAGCGTCAGTCGGTGGTGTCGATGCTCCACTTTAATCTGATGCCACATTTCTTTACGCAACCGCTGTTATAATCGACCGAAGCATAGCGAAGGTCCTCTATGTTCAACGTTTATAAAAAAAGTGGTGTTCGTCGGTCACCGCCACCTAATGCACATATGCGTGGGTTTACTATCAAACGCACATATGCGCGTTTGCCTTCTATACTCAAGGCCGCAAGCAAAATATGGTGTCCGTCGGTCACTGCTGCTTAATGCACATATGCGCGCTGGCCGTGCATGTAAAAGTAAAGCCGCGCATATGTGCATTAAGCGGCAGTGACCGACGGACACCACTTTTTTCAAAAACGCTGAACATAGAGGACCTTCGCTACCGGCTTCGGTCGATAAATAAAAATACAATTAA